CTGTAGAGTGACTTTTGTGGCCCATTACTCAGTGTAAACCTTGAGCTTCTTCCAAAGTCCCTGGGTGACTTTTGCCAAAATGGAAGGGTCTCAGTGCTAAATGTACCAGACACTGTGTCCTTCAGCTGATGGGAGATTGATGCGCACTTGATACAGGAGTGGGCTGTACTACCCCAGATCATGCTGCCAAGCAGCAAGGAGTTTTTTTCTGGAGAAGAGAAGGCTCCTGGGGGACCTTCTAGTGGCTTTCCAGTATCTGAAGGGGGTCTACAGGAAAGCTGGGAAGGGACTTCTTACAATGGTTTGTAGTGATAGGACAAAGGGTAATGGATCAAAACTGGAAGCGGAGAGATTTATGCTAGAAATTAGGAGGGAATTCTTTAGTGTGAGGGTGGTGAGACACTGGCTCAGCTTGCCCAGGGAAGTTGTGGAAGCCCCATACCTGGAAGCGTTAAAGGCCAGGTTGGATGGGGCTTGGAGCAACCTGATCTAGTGGGAGGTGTCTCTGCCTATGCAGGGGGCTTAGATCTAGATGGTCTATAATGTTCCTTCCAACTGAATCCATTCTTGATTCTATGCAGTTACCTGGCAATAACTCCACACTGAGGTCATAAATAAGGCGGGAGAGTGACTACACTGTGCTTTGGAGGGCCTGGTCAGGCTGGGATGTGAAGCTTTGTTAGCTCATGCTCCCCACATTTCAGCTCCAGCAGCTCTTCTACCATTGCCTGCACACAGGGGCGTTTCTGCTCAGGCTGCAAAGAGTCCCTGCTCCATTCTGCAGGCTGGGCAAGGTGCAGGGCTGGAGCTGGGTCCTTACAAATCCCGTCAGCACCTGGTGGGAAAAGGCTGTTTCCAGACTCGTTGGTGAAAAAACATCTGGGGGTGGAGTGGATAGAGGTGTGCACTTGTGCCTGTGTTTGTTTGACTCCTTGACAACCTCGTGAGAAGGATTTTTGGAGCCTTAATTTTCCACATTGGTCTTCCTGTCTCCTTTTGATTATTTTTGTCTTTTCCCTTAACTTCTTAGATAGCTACAGGCTTCCCACAGGGACACAAGTGGAGACACAGTCCTAAATAATATGTCCTATGTTTATCTCTAAGAGAGGCTGGACTGTTTTTTTTCATCACTGGCATTTCTCACCTCTGGCTGGACCTGGCCATGGGATGGAGCCCTGCCTGGAATGGACCAGTTGGGTCCATTTGGTTGAAAGATGCCTCTGATCACATTTTTTTGTCAGTAGAGTGTCTTCAGAGAGCCTGGAGAAGAGAAGGCTCTGGGGAGACCTCATAGTGGCCTTCCAGTACCTGAAAGAGCTACAGGAAAGCTGGGGAGAGACTTCTTATGTGAAGTGGCAGGATTAGGGAGAATGGTTTTAAGCTGAAAAAGGGTCAATTTAGATTAGATCTTAGGAAGAAATTATTTCCTGTGAGGGTGGTGAGACCCTGGCCCAGGTTACCCAGAGAAGCTGTGGCTGCCCCATCCCTGGCAGTGTTGAAGGGCAGGTTGGATGGGGCTTGGAGCAACCTGGTCTGGTGAGAGGTGTCCCTGCCCATGCAGGGGGTTGGAACTGGATGATCTTTAAGGTCCCTTCCAACTCAAACCATTTCACGATTCTATGATTCAAGGAGAAATTCAGGAGAGGTCCAGTTGTGGCATGAAAAACAATTCAAGGACAACATTTTTTGAGAAGATGGGAATGAGGAGTGCTGAGATATATTTCTCCCTCACATCCACTGGCTGGTCATTAATTAACACAGCAAATTAACCCATTTCTGCCTCCACAAATGTGGTGCTTAGCAGGACCTACCCAAATGTGATGTTTAGAGGGACCAAGGGAGTGAGGAGGAGTCAAGTCAGGGCTGCAGGAAAAGAGGAATGTGTCCAACTGGAGAGATGTGCCATGGGTGATTATTTTTAATATTTGTCATACTTCCAAATGAAACAGCAGACAAAGCTGAGCTGGCTCAAATACTTGCAGAAAGAGCTTGTGGGGAATTTGTTAATGAAGCAGGTTTCTCATCTAAAAATGCCAGTTCATCAGAACCTGGATTTTGGGGACGTGTTGCAGTCCTGGCAGGAAAGGCATCTCAAGCTGTGGATGGGTTTCTTTGTCAAAATCAAGAAGGTTTCAAGTTTGTCATGTGAATAAAATAAAGTGAGGCAGATGTAACAGAAGGGATGGAGCAGCCAAAGCTTGTGTGTGGTTTGGTTCAAGTTCTGCTCTCTGAGCTTCAGAGTCACTTCCACTGGGTAAAATAGGGACAACTTAAAATTTTCCCAGGTATGAATTAAAGCAGAGCAGCTTTTGGCTACTGCAAGGATGTGGCTGACTGTGAAATCCTGCAGGCTGATGAGAGTCCTCAGGATGATGTGAAGGTGCTGCAGTTTCCAAATCTCCAGCAAAGCTGTATCTCCATGATGGCAGTGCAGCCATGCAGAAGGAAGCCCTGGGTGTTCCTCTTCATCTGGAGATGGTGCAAAACCCCTCAGAGCTTCAAGAACATCAATTTTCCCCTCCATTTCCAGCCAGCAAGGGCTTATTGGGTAGGTCCTTCAGGACACAGACAGTGGCTATAAGTTTGTTTCATTTTTCAGCAGAGGAGAGGACACTGGTCAATCTTATTGCCTTGATTTCTCTGTCACTTGCATGAAGAACTAAACAGCTCCAATCTGAAGGGTCTTTTCAATTGAACGTTTTCACAGTGGAGTAAAGGAGGTTCCCTGCTTTACTCAGTGGCTTTGAATCAAAGTCCAGACACCCTCTCATTTTGCAGTGCAATTCTATCAAGATTGTTCTGCAGCAGTTTTTATTCTGACAGGATTTTGGAAAGGACTGACATCCCTGCCCTGGCTAATTGAACTGATGGATTAGAGCCTGAAAATGCTCTGGCAGGGGCTGTTGGACCTTTCCCCATCTTCTCACCTGGGAAGCCAAGTTGGTCTTTGGCCTGGGTGATACCTTTTCACAGTGTTGATGGTGAGACTGGCAGCAAAGGGATTGGGTGATGCCTGGTTGGAAGTATATCTTCTGACATGGAGAGTGCCTCTTTGGAAGGGGAATGGGTGCTGTGCATGCCCACAGCATCCTTGTACCACATCCCTCGCCTAAATCTCAGCAGGTAGCAGGGGAGGATGGTGCTGCTTGGAGCTCATCTTTCCCTCAGCGGATGGAAGGGACAGAATCTCAGCACAGGCAGAACTTGAAAGCCCTGTGAGGTAAGCATTTGGTCTGGTAGCCCAGCTTAATTCCAGGATAAATAACCCTGTTCTGTGATATTCTGCCAATCTGATTGCTCTCACAGTTTTTAAAAGGAGGTGACAAATTTCCTGTCATCTGGAGAGGCTGGTCTCTGCTCCAGCTCAGATACTTGCATTGCAGTGGGTGGGTAAACCCCTCCTTTTGCCCAGGAGCCTCTTGCCATTCTAAGAGAAGACTAGAAGCCTCCTCACTCGCTTTGGCACATGGTGTCCTCTAGCAAAGGCCACCCCTGGAGCCTCAGTCCCCACTTTCTCTTTGACAAACTCAGTCTATTGCCCCTATATTTAATCAAGAAAGGCTGCAAAAAAAGGGGAGGCAAATAGGAACTTCCTCAGGCCTGGCTCACATCCCTTCCCCTTCTCTGAATTGCTTGGGCTCCTTAGCTTTCTCATCCAGCCTTGGGAGGAGCAGGAGCCGGCTCTGAGCTGGACTCAGCCCGCTGGCCTGGGGTGTGTCACCCACCATTTCCTAAGTTATTCTTTTGAGTTTCCTTTTCTCACTATTAATAGATTTTCAGCCAATCTGAGCTCTTTTCAACAGGGTGGCTGAGGAGGGGGGCTGCTGGGGGAGGCGTTCCCAAGATAGGAAGCGGGAAGCTCTTGCGCAGGGAATTAATCAGCGGAGCTGCGTGCGGAGGCGGCGGCTTCGGGTGGGCTGAGGGGAAGGAGGACAGGACATGTCCTTTCAGTTTGCATTCTGTGTTGGCTCGCTGCTATTTTGTGCTCCAAGCTGTGACCTTGCCAAACAAGTTGCTCCCCTCGAGCGTCTTTCCCAGCCTGCAAAATACCACACACCTGCTGTGACAGGGTTACAACCAGAGCAACTTCACGGCAGGGTTAGTGGGGGTGCAGGGTGGCTGAAAATTGTGGCCCCTCAATTGACCTTGCAAGGAGATGCACTGGCACAAACCCTTCACACACCTTTCCTTTTACATTTTTACATTGGGAGTGGGGACCTTTTATAAGGTCATGTAGAGATAGAACAAGGGGTAATGGCTTTAAACTGGAAGAAGGGAGATGTAGGTTAGACATGAGGAAGAAATTCTTCACTGGGAGGGTGGTGAGAACCTGGCACAGGTTGCCCAGAGAATCTGTGGTTGCCCTGTCCTTGGTTGGACAGGTCCCTTTTAGCCCAAACCCTTCTATGATTCCATGATTCTATGATTCTGTGATTCTATGATTCTATGACTCTATGATACTATGACTCTATGATTTTGGGTGGCTTTTTTCATCCCAGCACCTCCTGCCCAGGAGCACCCACAGCAATGGGGACCAGCAATGTCACTTTCCAACCTCCTAAATATTGCTCGGTAGAGCCCGAACAAGCCCATCTTGGTAGCTAACAATAAGGGAAAGTTCTGCCCCTTCTGGGGTTGTGCCCCTCACAGAGACACAGTATCACAGGCACAGTCATGGGATACACAGATCAGGAAATTAAATCATGTTTTTGCAGTGGACTCATTTCCTCTGGGCTGTTTGGCCACGGATGCGTGTGGAGGACTTGAACTCTCCTCCTGTGGGTCTACCCCACACTCAGCACAGAATTGCAAGGTTTTGGGGGCTTTCTGAGTGATGTGTATGAGAGGAGAAGTGCAGAGGAAAGCATCTGCAGACTCACTGCAGCCAGTGCTTTCAAAATACCCTGGTAGCTGCTGTATCACTTCCGTTTTTCCCTAAAAAAAAGGACTCGATGACAGTCAAAAAAGTGAAATGAAATCAGTGGCCTTGCCCTGCCAAAATGCATCCAGGACAGTCAGGGGCAGGTAGTGATTTTCTGCCTTCTGGAAAACAAGGTGAGGGACTTCAAGTGAACCTTCTTTTGGAAAGGATCTCCTCCTGGTAAGGTGAGGGGAAGATAGCTCAGAGGACCTCTGCTCTATCCTCCTTCTCCCTCATAACATTAGATCCCTTTATCTCCGTGGCTCATGGTCTGAAAGAGTCATTTGTTGGCTGCAAAAGGACGTGCTGTATCTTTTGTGAGGAATTTTTATGCTAAAGGGGCACTGAACATCATCCTGTCCTGTCTGGCTGTTATCACCACCAGTCTGTGGTTACAGGGGTTTTTTTCCTCCTTCAACCAGATCCTTTTCTGCTGAGGCCACTCGGCAGGCAATACTGGCTACCAGCCCAGGCAAATGGGCTCATTACCAGTTATTACCCCTGGGTCTGTCGCTGAGATTTGGCACGGGTGGCCAGTCAGGGAGGAAGAGATAAATAAAGAGTTATTTGGCTTTTGAAAGAGATACACAGCATGTGTGGGAGAAAAATAGTGACCTGTGGGCTTGTGCTGCTTCTCGCTGCTTGGTCTGTATTTTTTTTTCTGCTTTGGAGTTTAGTATTTGCTAGGCTTCTGAAACTGAGAGCAGTGAGTTTGCATAAGCCAGGTCTTCTGCAGGTGATGAACATGCAAGATATAAAAAAAAAATCATAGAATGGTTTGGGTTGGAAGAGCCCTTAAAGATCATCTTGTTCCAAACCCTCTACTATGGGCAGGAACATCTCCCACTAGACCAGGTTGCTCAGAGCCCTATCCAACCTGGCCTTGAACATTTCCATGGATGGGGCTTCCACAACTTCCCTGAGCAACCTGTTCCAGTGCCTCACCACCCTCACACTAAAGAACTTCTTCCTAATGTCTAATCTAAATCTCTCCTCTTTCAGTGTGAAATAATTCCCCTCATCCTATCACTACAAGCCCTTGTAAAAAGCCCCTCCCTAGCCTGTGTTTTCTGGCTCATCATTATTTGTGTTGCCACCTGCCAAAGGGATGTAGATCATTGCCCACCAAAGTAGAGTGATTTCTACCTCTGTGGCATCCATGTAGTAGGACAGGCCATGTGATCAGCACCCATTGGATCTATTCATCCCTCCATCCATCCATCCATCCATCCATCCATCCATCCATCCACCCATCCATCTCCTGCATGATGTTTCACCATTTCCAAGCAGGCATTGTTGCTTTGAATCCTCTTAAATCACTGGTCCTGGCTAAAAAATGAAGAAGTAACTGATCTTTAACATCTGTTTCCTTTAGTAGGAGAGGAGATCTAAGACTGGATGCAAAGATATGGAACAATAAAACACTAGCAACCTTTTTGGGCATCAACTTGAGTCTTGGTTATTCTCCTAGTTGTTTTTTGGGGCTGAATCACCAAGTCCCTTGAAAGAGGCCCTAATTCTAATGGTTGGACTTGGTGAGCCCAAGGGTCTTTTCCAACCTGAATGGTTCTCTGATTGTACCACACCAGCCAGGGCAAGCCTGGAGAACCACACCAGCTTCCTCCATCAACAGAGCAACCCTCTTGCTTTGAACTTTTGCTCCCGTTTTTTGCTAAAAGTGGTAAAAATGCAGCTGCAGCTCCCCAGGATGGGATGGGGAAGCACTGGGGAAGGGATGCCCATTTCTAGGCTTGAAGGGGGTCCCAGCTGGCCACAAAGGCTGGCCCAGATCCAAAGCATGGACCTGCCCCTTTCTCTTTTGGACCCAGTTGAATTGAATTGTCTTTTATACCTCTCCTTCAGTGCATGTTTTCTTCCTGCCTCTCTGGGGTGAGGCTGGGGCATGAAAAGGAAGCAAAAGCAATGGGGGGTTTCCTCCACCTTCCTTCCAAACCTTTCTTTATTTATGTCTCTTTTGTCTTATTTCTACCTTCAGGGGAGCTTTTTTAGTGTCTTTTTTGTTTGGTTTTTTTTACCTCCTTTGTTGTCAAAACCCCTGTCAAACCTTTGCAACCCTATTTACAGTACAGACCCATTTTGTTGCTAACTGGATGCCTGGTCTTTAAAATAAATTAAAAAAAAACATACAACAAACCTCCCATCTACCTGATTTTTGCCCCTGAGTTTCCTTTCCTTGGTCCCCATGTCTGTGTTTTGTTTCCTCACCTCTTCTGCTACAGCCAGTGGCCAGTCTAGGAAATAAGACTTCTCTCCACAAATCTTCTTTTCCCACAGATTCAGTGGAGATGTTTTCTCACAAGCCCAGGATTTCCTAAAATAATTCATGCTGCAAGTTTCTGTTTCAATTCCCATCTCAGTGATGTTTTCAGGAATGGCAGCTGGTGGAGAAAGGGAAATAAGAACTTTCTCTCAGGAGAGGCTCTGCACAACTTTTCTCCTGGCTCTGCATTCCCCAGTTGAGATGCCAGAGATCAGCCATAGCCCTCCTGCCTCCTCCAAACCCACCCTCTCCCCAGGAAGCTCCCATGGGATCCCAGAGCTGTTGCAGGATCCCAAAACTCACTGGCCAGGTCCTGTACTAAATGCACCTCCACCTGCCCCCCCCTGCCCTGACTCCTGACAAGGTGGGGTTAGATTCCCTCTGGGGTATAAATCTCAGAAACTGGATCTTTGAAGCACAACCAGTGCTAGTAAACAGGCTCTGAAAGAGAAAATAGCCCTCTCTGCACAGCCATCAAATAGAAGAACCCTCTTCCCTCCCTCCAAGATCAGGTTGTTGTCTGGACTCCAGCCAGACCCTTGGATGAAGTGGCTCAGGGCAGCCCACAGTCCTGAAGGGTGAAAAAATTGGTTGAACTTTTCCTGGGGTGAATTTGAGCAAGAGCCCAGAGCTGCTGATTACCATGTGCAGTGGGGGGAAATTATCTCTGTGGCAATTGATGGAGCTCCTGCAGTGATTATCAAGAGAAAAATGGACCCAACTAGTAGTGAATCATTCAGCTCACTATAAACCAGTTTCATTATCTGAACATGTAAAGTATTCTTCAGAAACAAATTGCAGATCTCCTTATGTATGTGAGACAACTAAGCAATGGACAACCCTCTTTGTTTGGAGACTGGGCTTTTTTCCCACGTAGGTGATGTCAACTCTCAGTGAAATACTTCATGGATTTCCTCAAAAACTAGCAAACCATGATTAAAGTTGTATTTCTATGTGATGGATAAATGCAGGCTAAAAACCATGGTGCCATTAAGGATTTGCATGGGACATGTAGGTGGAGCCCTTCATTTTCCTGGCTTGTTTCTCTTTTTCCTAAATGCATCCTTTTTTTTTTAAGATTTTCCCTTGAAAGTGACCGCTGACTTGAAACATTTTTATGTGAATTTCTGAGGCTTTTCAGAATAGTAAAATAATCAGCTAAACAAATAAGTACAAATTATAGATTGATGGCAAGATTTGCAATGGGCTGGTGAAATGAACATCCTTAAAATTAAAATAATGCAGCTCCAAATCAATGCTTTTTGTATTTGGTTGCAAACTCTGCCCAGTGTTGACCCATTCTTTGAGAGCAAGTGGAATAAATATTGTTTCCATGGTTCAATCAATGGAGAATTTCACTGTGTGCAGCTTTTCATAGAATCAGAGAATGGTTTGGGTTGCAAGGCACCCTTGAAGAACATCTATGGGCAGGGCTACCTTTCACTAGACCAGATTTCTCCAAGCTCCACCCAACCTGGCCTTGAACACTGCCAAGGATGGAGCATCCACAGCTTCTCTGGGCAATCTGCTCCAGTGTCTCACCACTCTCAATGGTTTAACTCTGGATTTGAGTGAGAGTGCTTATTTTATTATGGCTTTATAGTGATTATCTGAGTTTGGAAAGGGAAAGAAAAAAGCTAAGTTGAAATCTATGCAATTAAAGAAGCAAAGCTTGAGTTTGCAAGCAGAAAGTAACTTTGAAAAAGGTGAGAAGTGTTGCCTTATTTACCTGAGGCTCCTCACCACTTCAGAGATGTGAGAGACCCTCCTAGTGGTGTTGGATGAGCAGCATTTGGCATGTCCCGTGGCTGCTCCTTGAAAAGGGCTGGATGTACTGTATTTTGGGAATGACTTGCAGCACTTTGTACAGGAGCTGGTGCATCCATCACCTGAGGGAGACCTGCATTCTGGGAACCAGCAGGTCTTGTTCTCCTCCTCACCCTTCAAGCCTCTTGAAATCCTATGAGTTTGACTACATTTGTTGTTGAGGTGGCTCAAGCTTCCTTCTCCTCTGCTTTCTGCTGGACATGGTGCTACCAGAACATGGCATTTGGTATGAGTTTAGTAGGCATGAGGCAAGCCCTGACTGAATGACTCATGGTTTCTGGTCAGTGTTTATTTCTACAAACACCTGTTCTGGCTGGAAACCGAGGGTAGTTTCCTTAATTCAGAGTTTATCTTGGCATTTTTACTTTTCCCTAGGTGTCAGCTCTCAGGATGAGACAACTACTGCAAGCCCAGGAGAAAATAAGCAGGACCTGATTACAGGCACAACCACGGTGCAAGGGGCCAACCCTACAAGCAAACCAGGAGACACACCAACCAACCCTGTGACACCACCTGCCGCACTTCAAGGGTCTACACCTACAAGCAAGCCAGGAAACACACCAACCTCCTCTGCAGTACCACTCACCAGTGTCCAAGGAACCACCCCTACAAGCAAACCGGGAAACTCCCCCTCCCCCTCTGCAATAGCAACTGCTGCAGCTCAAGGGACCATCTCTACAAACAACCCAAAAACCCCATCACCTGCCCCCACAACATTACCCAACCTGCCTCAGCAGGTCAGCTCTTCACCAGGCTCTGGATCCTCAACAGCCATCCCTGCTGCAGCCACCAGTGTGGCCAAACAGACCGACCCTCCAGCCAACCTGGGAAGCTCAGCAGCCACCACTGCAGCAAATCCAGTCCCAGCTCATGCCAGCAACCCTACAACCACTCCAGGAGGTTCAGGGACCACTGTCACATCCTCTCCCAGCACAAAAGCTCAGGGAAGCCAACCTTCAAAGCAGTTGGCCAGCACCACCATGAGCACCACAGTTCCAGGGAGCCTTCCTCCTGGGCTTAAGGACCATGGTGACACTTCTCCCACATTGGTCACTAAGCAGCCTCACTCTTCTTCCAGTTCTCCAGACCAGGATCTGGCCACTCCCACCAGACCTGAAAGCACCAACGTTTCTGTTACATCTTTTGACAGACCCATCTCCCCCACCACTTCACAACCTGGCGACAGAAAGGTCTCAGAGGCAGCCACCACATCGACTCTTGGACCAGGTACCAGAAGACTAGAACCTTGATTTCTTGGGTTAGGAGGCCCTTATGTGGTATTTTCCGTTGGCTGCCCTAAACATGGTCCTTACGGGGTGTCATCGCTTTGTCTCATTTTAGTACTTCCCAGTGTAGTTGTCTCCATGACAACTGGATGTTTAGGTCCCTGTTGTCATTGGTGGAGGTCAAGTCGAGGCAGTTAGTGAGATTCAAGGCATGGATCAGCTGGCAAAGCACAGGCATCAGCTTTCAGATGGACCAGACTGTGCCTGAAGCACCATCAACTGCAACGACTCGACCTCCAGTGACTGCAAAAGGCAGCCAGGAGCAACGAGGTCAGAGATGGAGACTGACACTGTAGAGATGGTGAAATAGACTGACAGTGCCCTGACTGCAGAAGGTCCTTAGCATGGCTGACAGCTTCGTGAAGGCTGTCTGGGTGTGCATAGAACATAAGCTTTAGAAGACTAAGGAGATTTTGTGGCTAAACCCTAAGTTTACAACCTCTAGAGAGTCTAAGCAGTTAGGTGGGATATTCATCACTCCTGCAGGGTGTTTGGCTGCTGACTTCTATCTAAGCAGCATTATGAGTGTCCATGTGGTGTTTAGGATCTTGCTGAACACCATTAACACGTTTTCTCTAGACCTCTGGAGCTTTATAGATCCCTATTATTTCCTAAGTGCCCTGGTGAGGCCCAGCCTGGGGTCTCCTTTGGCATCTTGGCTGGCAGCATTTACAGGGAGTAATCCCACTGTGGGACTGTGAGGGCTTCATGAAGCCTTCCAGACTGGCGTGGGATTGTGAGTTCAGCTCACATCTGGCTCTGAAAAAAAAGTGTGATGACACTGAACCCTTCATTATCATCCCCTGGAGAAGTTTGTTCTTGACCCATTTTCCAGCTACCAGCAATACAGAAGCAACTCAAAACCCCACCTCCTTCTACCTCAGCCTTTCAGCTCCTCCTTGCTGCCACCATCACTAAATGGGCCCAGGCCTTTATACAAGACCATCTTCACTGGCTTCAGCCAGATCATGTTAGCAGGAACTAGGAGGTGAAATAGGTATCTTCATGAAGGATAATTCTTTCCCCTCCTGCTCCACAAGTCTGTTCTCCAGTAAACGTTGATACATAAAATTATGCTAGTTCAGATTTTACCTCAAGCATTGAGCACAAAGAGGCTTGAAAAAAACATTTACACGTAATAAATAGGTGAGAGAATGCAAGAGAAACAGATGGCTTGGAAATTAATCCTCTCCTGGAGCCTTCAGAGTGTGTCTGGGAGAGAAATATCCCTCATCCTTTCTGTAGAAGAGACAGGACCCCCATAAGCAAACAGGCTGTGAACACAATGTGGAGTTTTTATTCTCTTTGTCACCATTTAAGGATCAATTAGGAGCCCAGGGATGGGGATCTATCTCTTCAAAAGGACTTGGGGAGGGAGGAGGCTGCTGTGCTCCTTGAACTACTCCCACTGCACAGGAAACTGTAAGATGTTACAGACCTTAACAAAAGTATCTGAGATGATCTTGGGTATCTGAAATACCTGTATGGGGCAGACAGATGTGGGGCATGTGACCTTCTGGAGGAGTAGGCAGGCAGGCCAGCCCAGACTGTCTCCCATAGTACCACGCTCTACTTCTAAGCATGTCACCATCCATAGCTTCAGGAAGCTTCATCCATAGCTGATGGAGATGCCACCAGCAGAGGTTATGGCATTTCACCCCTCCTAATGGAGGCATCTGCAGTGTTCAGTGGGATTGCACAATTCACTTCATTCACTGGGGGACCCAGGGGAGCCACCTCAGGTAGGCTACCTCTGGTGTAGAAATCTCCATGGAAGACACCCCAGATGAAGTGAAACGAGGGCTTCAAGGCAGGGCTAGAGTCAAAAAACTTCTTTCCAGCTCTTCATGAACAGACCTGTGCCAGCTGTATCCCCTACAGCATTTCAGTGTTTGTCTGCTTGTTTTTGCTGTATATTTGGGACCCAGACCAGAGAAGCCAGGACACCAGATCTGTGCCAACCAGACCCTCCAGTGCTGACCAGAGCCCTGCCAGTGCACAGCCATCAGCTCCAGCCCCTGGGGACCAGACAGCAAGCAGCAGTCCTGGCTGCCAACACCCTAACGCTTCTTTCCAAAATAAGGTAACAAACCCTATGGGAAGGTGAGCACTTTGTAGTGGTGTCTATTCATATCTGGATGGCATCCACCTAGATGTAGAACCTGCAGCCCTTCTTGCTGAGCATTGTCAGGCTCTCGAACAGGCTGCCCAGAGAAGTGGTGGAGTCACCATCCCTGAAGGGATTTAAAAGATGGGTAGAAGTGGTGGTGAGGGGTATGGTTTAGTGGTGGACTTGGCTGTGTTAGGCTAATGGTTGGAACTGATGATCTTAAAGGTCTTTTCCAGCCTAAACAATTCTAGGAATCTATGTCTGTGTCAGAGAGATCTGCTGTAGGAAAACACAAGGCAGCAAAATATTTGTAAATGAAACCCCTTTCTCCCATAGCTTTCCAGTGTGGAGACATGGGGTTTGTGGTCTGGGTGCTGAAGAGTGGTGAAATGAAATCTAGGAAGAGAGAGGGAAGCATTTTGAAGAGCAGAAGCTGCCTTGGGGTGGACTTGGACATGATGAGAGGCCAAAGGCCACAATTCAGCATCAACTGCTCATGGATGACATTAACAGAAAATGGTTTGGGAGTGTAGGGAGGTCTCCAAACACAAGCCAGGATAACTATAGTGCTAGAAAGGAAGGAAGGAAATCCTGTTTTGAGATGTTCATGCTTTGTAGGACAGGACTGCATCTTGATCCACTGGCATGGATATTCCTACTGCCTGAGCCAATTCCTACTTCACCCCACGCTGCAAATCCTGGTTTGGGAAGTGAATGAGCAAACATCCCTTAAACAGCTGGGTCAGTTTGCTATGAAAATCCTTTTCATATATGAAGAGTTGAGTGAAGGGCTCCCACACCTGTCTCATTTCCATAAAATGGATCAGAGCTTTGGTTGGGATGTCTCCTGGCTTGAGGTGGTCTGTTTTCTTGGTGACCAACTTCTTCTTCCAACCTATTTCAATGATGTGAGAGTTGCTCTTCTTTCTGTCTTTTCAGATAATCTGTGAAGACCAGATGCAAAATAATTGGCCCACCACTATATACCTGAAAGAAGCTAGGAACTGTGTAAGTAGCACCCTTTTGGACTTCTCTGTAGGATTAGCAGTTGTGTTGTTGTTGGAGATCAGCTTTGAACCTGTGGTACCCTGAGCATGTGAGCCTACAGGGAGGAGAGTCATTTCATCAGAATAAGATGCAACGACTTTTGGGATGTAAAATGGCAAATGCAAATCCACAATCAGCAGCATCACCCAGTGGAGAACATGGAAGGAGGAGAAGAGGCCCATGTGGTTTTCTTCTTCTAGTAGAAGGACCAGCTGAGCCTCCCAGGGCTCAGAAAAAGAGCAATGGGAAATTTTAGAGGGTGAAACTTCCCTTCTGCAAAGGCTAATGGGAAAGCTTTTTGCCTTTGCAGAGGGGCCAGGAGTCCATCCCAAAACTCAAGCAAAAAAGGTAGAATTCCTCCACAGTTGTTGTGCACTTGGTGAGATCTTGCAGCCTCACAGCTGGGGTGGGGGGGCATTCAGCTGCAGAGCAAGAGGGAAGCACAGCAGCCTGGAGCCTGGAACTCACTGTGCTCCTCAATGCTATTCAGGTCTCATAAAGCCCTAAAACAGGAGAAAAAAACCTCCATTTATTTGTTTCAGACCTTCTGCAATATCAGGGAGTAGTAAAATGTGGTGCCAAGGTTGGGGAAGGACAAACCCAACCTAAGACTATACACCAAGACCCCTTTTCTGGTGGGTGGGTACTTCTCTGCTGGCTTTTCTGAGAGACACCCAACTTCAAAATTATTCTTGTGGAAACAAGTTTCCTGTAATAGGGAAGGTGCAAGACACTGATAACTTATAAATAGGCTGAAGTTTTAAGTTTATGACAAAGAAGAGGAGGCAGCACCACATGAGATCCTGACATAATCATTGTATCTATCTGAGCTGTGGGTAGGGCTCAGGGATGGGCTTGGGCATTATAATGCTCTTGGTTTCTGGATCTTCAGGGACCTTCTCACAGCTTCTGCTGCACAGCATCAGAAATAGCTGCTCAAGCTCATAAACCTCTGCTGTACCATTTGTAAAATGCACCAACTCTTGACTACACCATACAGTGGTGAGACACAGAGTGAAGCCCCTATGTGTTCATAAAACCTCTTGAGATACTTGCTGAGATGAGCACAGTTGCTCCTACTGACCACAGCACCTCTTTAAACTTCCTGTGGCTTGGTGGTGGCCCTGCCTGGCAGCCCTGGAGAGGGCTTGGAGCTCCTGGTAGCACCCACTGTGCTCCTGGAGGAACAGAAGCACCTGGCTGCTGCCATCTCATGGTCATCACCTTCCTACTCTGGCTGCTGTTGGGTGTAAACGCTCCTTGCCTGGACACCTGCAGAAAAAATGATGTTCTTAGTCATGCTGCCCCTAATGCTGAGGATGACCCCAAGGAGGAACTTTATTACAATGGTGCCAGTGGCCCAGAGGCAACACCAGGACAGCCTTTCCTGAGATCATCCTCTGCATCCCCTTCCTGCAATGACTTAACCTGCAACCACGTCCATGTTGGGCAATCATCCCATCAAAGTTTATATTGAATATATACAAATATTTCATCAGATTGAGCCAATTAGATTTTGGACCTTAAAACACCCAGGCAACTTATGACCGTGTTGGTGTTTACTGCCTCCCTTCTCCTTCTGGGTGCAGTCCTGCCCTGCACAGAGCTCTAGTCCTCCCTGTGGCTTCCCTGAAGCTGTGCCAGGAAGCTTTTTGGGAATAGGGATGGAAGGCTGGGAAGTGCTGGTGCACAGCAACACACTGGTGAGCTATGGGGTGGGTGGACATCACGGCATCCATCGCTTCTTTGGGCCACAGGGAGGCTGGAACTGGTGAGCCCAGGAGTCTGCTGCCCTGTTTCCCTTAGATTCCTCTGGGAATAATCATGGGGCAGAGCATTGTTAGTAAAAAATGCTAATCATGCCTGGAAGCAGCTGCAGAAGGACTGCAAGGGTGCATCTTCCCCTTGCATTGCCCTTCTCGGCTGCCAAAACACCTCCCACCTGCTCCCTGTTAGCTTTCCACTCGGTGTATTCCTGAAAACTGAAGCAAGTTTTGTGCCTCCCAAGCTGAGCAGGTAACAGAGAAATGGCACTATCTGGTTTCCCTGTTTTGTAGGCCTGGTAAACAAGTCTTTGGCCAAATCTTGACAGCAAAGTGAAAAAATCCTTTGCATTTTGCAAGCCGTGGGAAAACAGGAAAGTGTGTGCTATAAGGAGAAGTGTTCCAGAAATGGCTCCAATCCTGATCTGCAAGATCAAGCCAGAGCTGCAGCAGCCTTGTGCTAAAAGCTCAGCTCCAGAGAGAAGCTGGGGAAGAAGCATCAAGGGATGTGAGGGCCCAGCAGTGGGGCAAGTGTCCAGGTCACAGGTGGCAGGGCAGGGGGGCAGTGCAGACCCTCCCTCCCCACCTCCATGGAGAGACAGGGTCACAGGGCAGCGTTGGTGATGGAGAGATTTAAGCAAAATGGTTGGGAACAAACAAATGGTTGGGATTGCAGGCATTGTGCCTTCCTGTACCTCAGTTTCTCCAGGTGCTGTAAATTTAAAAATCATTTAAAAAAACCCTCCATCTGTAAATCTTAAAAAACCCAAAAAAAAGAGCCAGGCATGGTTGGCACCACTTTGTGGACCAAAGGTACTTTACAGGCTGGTCCCCACCATCCTCTGTCTTCAGGGAATGCTTTTAACCAGCACTGAAGTTTGGTCCATGTTCCCCATCCTCCTTTTTGCCCTTTCTCCTTCAATTACAGCAGGATCTTAATGAGTTTCCTAACGAGGTTCATTAGCTTGATGCCTTGCATTACACAGGCTGACTTTTCCAGGGTCTGGCTCACAAGTCTATCTTCAGCTGGGTTTTCACTGGCTGCTTGGAGTGCTCCAGCCTTGGGAGGGACTGAAGGATGGGTGGGTGGGTGGATGGATGGATGGATGCTCATCCCAACAGCAAAATGTACTAGATGAAGCAAGAGATGACCATGTCAGAGGCAGCTGGTGTACCCAGGCTCCAGCTCAGCCACAGAACTCTGTGACCACCTCCCAGAGGACCAGCATGGCTCCTCTGTGGTGTCCCCAGTGAGCTGAGTCAGAGGATGCTGGGGAGGACCAGACCTTGATCCAACCAGGTGATGCAAAAGCAGCAGTGGGACCACCTGTGAGATAATTTGGGGGCAGCGGGACACTCCTGGGAGCAGCTGGAGGGTCCTCCTTCACCCCATCCATCTGGCGGGGCCGGTTTGTTGACTCAAGTGCTGTTACCTCATTCGGGGATGTTAGTTTTAGGTCCCCGCCAGTGTGGGAACCGGATCCGAGCTGCTCGGCAGGGCCTGTCAACTCCATC